TACAGTATATATATATATATATATATATATATATAATCCCCAGACAAAATGTGGGTTCTCTCTCCAACAGTGGAGGGGGAAGTTTTGCCGGGCCCCTGACCCCCACTGGCACCACCACTGTAAATAATAAACAATACTATTGCACTGTAGAAGGTGATTGCACTGTAGAAGGTGACATGCCACCTGTTTTAACAACCAGTGTCTACCAAATGTCTTCTGAGAATAATATTAGTAAGCCTACCGACACCAGTTACTTTGTAGAAGGCCCAACTAATGAAAGCGTTTGAGCAGTGGTTAAGTCTCAGATGACTCTCTACCTTGCGGTCGATGGTTCGAAACTCTCGCTGTGAGTCACAAACGAAACCCTAGCGGCACCCCATTGGTTAACCGTAGACAGAAGTTCCCAGGTTCAAATTTCAGCTAGGGGACTTTTAGCACTTACCGATTGTTTTACAAAATGTATGTCCTTCAGTATTATTACAATACGGTTTATTGTGCCATTATAATATATTCTTTAACGTTGTACCATGGAGAAACATGTAATACTTTTACATTGCAATTTTAACTCATACTTATATACAATAAAATCAAAGTAATTGATAAAATAAATATGTTAATTCTGTCAAGGATTTTATTTTTTATTTCAGTCCTTTCAAACCTTCCAATTTTTCTCCTTTATATATATATATATATATATATATATATATATATGTATAAAATATATATATATATAATACATATATGTATATTTATAGTATATATATATATTATGTATATACATTTTTTTAGACACCTTGCGATCAAACGCATTTTGTTGTATTTGCCAATGATTGATTGGGTTATCGGTGTGTACTATAATCAAGCCATAACAAAATATATTGAAAACCACTCAGCGATGTATACAATAGTACACCTATGGCCTAATGATATTATCATCACTGCACAAACAGGCTAGTGTTCGTGATGTTCACGTGTTTCATGACCATTTATTGTCAATCGAATTACTATGATAACTAATGTTGCTACTATTGCTACTGTCAGTGCCATCAGAAGAAAAATACGATCAAGAATCGCGCCAATATCTTTCCATTCCATTAATATCATCGTCTCTTCTTCATCGTCTTTCATCCGTTTTGTAATTCCTTTTAATTCTTTTAAAATATCCTCCAACTCTTTATTAACGATGCGACAAGTGTGACTTGCTTGTGGATTGTTGTCTGGTTTATCGCTTCCTTCAAAGATGTTTGTTTCTCGGAACACGTGACCATTGCAGTTACCAGGGACTTCAAGTTTCTTATTGTTTTGATTAACCGCCGACCTAACGACATCCATCTTTGTGCACATGCCATTTTCATACATGCAGCTTTTCTTATGTTTTCCGTCTGATTCGCAGTTGTTTCTCCTCGCTGATACAGCTCGTGGCGTATAGAAGACTATACGAGCGACTTTTCGCAGCATCAGTACGCGCAACCACCTGGGTGCTCTTACTCCTCCATTCTTGTTGAACACGTTTAGTACAAAAGCCGTAAATAGTATAGAAATAGATCCCATGCATATCAATATAGTAAAGTACCGACCTAAAAAAAAGTAAAATGATTCTATATTGATATATGAGTTCCTTCGATTGTTAATGCCTACGAAAGCCTTAAAGGTTTCGCTTGTCTCTATTTTTTTTATTTTTTTGACAAAAAAAGACAATTCCAGAATGTCGTTTTGGCGCAAAGGTTGTGTGGTTTGAGGTTGGAGGTTCAAAACTCCCACTTTGCAAATCGCTTGAACAAGGCATTTATTTACGTTGTCTCTTTTCACAATGTAAGTGGGTACCCATGAGTTTTGAGTGCCAATACATATTTAATGTATCAACATTTTGGAATGCTATTACAGTACTGATTTGGCATGTGTATTTCCATCGTTCCACGCCAATAGGACTGAGATAGTAATGTGGATCGCTCTGAAACTTAGTTTTGTATACTGTTATTTATAAATACCAACATTATAATAATATGTTAAAATGTGGCATATTTTGCTAAATTTTTGAATTTTTACCTAATGGATTCAAGTTTTTGAAATAAGCAATTAATGTATGCCTGTGCCTAATAGAACTACGCTTAGCAGGAAAACTGAATGAGGGTGATAACAAAAAAAAATGGCAAGTAAGTGCTATTAAGGATATCGGTCATCATAATAGATAAGTTAAACATAATTGTCAACATAAGAGAACTTCTAATTCAAACAACCATCTTTGATAAAGCAAGGTTTTCATTAAATCACTACAGTGTTTTCACTACAATCGGTAAACCGTCTCCGGCGCAGATCGGGTAAGCTGCGCGATCAGATTCGACTGACCAATCAGCGTCGCCGAAAGTTGTAGGCTATCGCCTGTAGCAATTTTATGGAAGCCATGCATAAGATATGGTGGAAACCTGCTGCCTGTTATTAACTTACTAAGTAGCGGCGAATTATCGGCACTTGGGGGTAACGTTTCGGCGATGAGCTGCTGGAATAGAATAATCGCAAGCAGGTTAGTGATTGCAAACGAAATCTTCCCGTCGCATTCTGGCGGTAAATAGAAAACGAGCATCGTGACAAATGATAGAAGCACGCACGGGATCAAAATATTACCCATGAAGAATTCTGGTCGTCGTTTTAGAATTAGTGTGTAATGCAATGATGGGAAGGGCTCGGGACAACAGTTGTATATTGAAACCTGCTTTTTACCGAGGACGGACGCAAGATCCCAGACGCCATTCTCGTCAAATTCCGTCTGCTCGTCATGACTACCACCAGGAAAATTAATATCAAGTTGCCAGCCGTGGTACAACCATGATCCAAATTTTAAGTTGCAGTGCTGCTCATCGAACGGAAAGTACCGGACGTCCATTCGACAGAAACTTGTGAGAATCGCGGGTGCGGCCTTAGTGACTGTTCCGTCGGATAATATTTTGAGATACAGACCTTTTTTGTAACGTTCAAAATCACTATCAACACTAGACGAAATGAAATAAAAGAATGTCAGTCTAGACTGTTAATTCCAACGAGAACACAACAAAATTTGAGTAAAAAAGCCCGAAATTAATGCATTCATCTCTGATCAAGTGTGAGAAATTGTGTGAGATAGCCCTTTCCTTTTTTTCTTTTGCTACTTCCCTACCCACCCGGCCCCTGGCAAAACTAATCCTGGATTCGCGACTGCAATTGATGTAGGTTAGGCCTAATTGTGATACTGTGATTCGACTTTATTATATTTATTGAAAGCCAATTAAAATTACAAAAAAATGCAGAAACATATTATCGCATACTTGTTGAAGAGTGTAATGTCCGGCTGCCACAGAGTCCCAGCTTGCATAAAGACTTCATTGATGTCACCATACTCAGACGCATTCCATGGAATAAGTTCATCTTTCCAATTCTTAAAAAAAGAACAACGAAATATAACTCCTTATTATTATCATCATGTCATCATCATAATCATTAATTCATCATCGCCATTATCATTACCATCATCATCATCGTCATCATTATTATTATTATTATTATTATTATTATTATTATTATTATTATTATTATTATTATTATTATTATTATTATTTTCATCATCAGTTCGATGTTGTAAACCAACACTGACATAATAAATACAATGTTGATAATGAGGTGAGTCGAATGACTGAGCGGTTAGTAGGGGCACCGCATGCGCTATAGCCATAATATCAGCGCTGGTTCGAACGGCACACTCGCCTATGGTTCTGATGGTAGAACAAGTCTTCTCGGATAAGTTTCACTATAATGAACCCAGTACATCCTTCGAGACGAGTAGGGGGATACCCCGGTGTACTGGAACAGACATCCCCTGTGCTGGACGACGAGAGTTGCTGGTACCGGGTTACCGGGTAGCACAGACACGAAGGAACCCTTAGGGATGAAGAAAGTCATTAATCGCCCTATTGTTGTTGCTGCTGCTGCTGCTGTTGTTATTATTATTATTATTATTATTATTATTATTATTATTATTATTATTATTATTATTATTATTATTATTATTATTATTATTATTATTATTATTATTATTATTATTATTATTATTATTATTAATATTATTGTCATTATGATAATCTTCTCAGCCTATTATTAGTTTACCGGTAATATTGAAATAACATTATTATTAAATATTTGAATAGTTTCATCTAATGTGTTTTGTTAATTTGATTAGACAAATTAATAAGTTTTTTTCAATTTATTTTCGTGTAGGCCTACATTAATAACAACAATACGTTGATAAGATTTATCACTTTAGCATGAACAAAATCCAAACCATGATGGGTTAATGGATGGTTCGGTGTCATGGTTTTGTCCGAGGGCTACACGAAACGTGTATGAAATAACTGGAGTGATATTGATGCCACATAGGTGGCTTCGTTCCGAAATCTACCGTATAAAATATGCCTACATGTTGTTGAATGATGATAATTTAATCGAACGCATAAAAGGACGGCAATTGCACAATTTATTTTATTAGCGATTAAAATGTGAGTTCGACATTGTATATTGTTTATTTTTTTCCTTATATTATGCTTTAAGAAGTTCATTAGCTTGTTTCCCCGTGCGTCCATTATTACAATAGGCTTGTAACGGTTATTATTGCTTGACCATGGAGGTAGGTAACACCCAATGATAGACTACGGCTACGTTCAGACTTTGAGATAAGCCAGGCTTGAGTTAAGCCCAGCTCAACGTTAAGCCCGGCTTTACTTTGCCGGGCGTTCAGGCGAGCGGGATTAGCCAGGTGAGAATTTGCATAATAATGAACCGTAACCAAGAAACGTGTTTCAAAACATTGTTCATGAAACGTATACGCTCGCTCACAGCGTACGTAATTGAATGCTGATTGGTTATTTTTTCACCCGAAGTCAATGCAAGACCCGTTCGCGAAAAAAAAAAAGTTATAGACATTGACTACGCCGCCAGTCTACTACGAACTAATAGAGCGTAACAGGCATCTGCGCATGCTCGCAAACCCTACTGGCTAAATCGGCGTTGTGATAGCTTCCGCGACAACCCCAATTTCTGAATTTGGAGTAGTGGCGACTACCCTAATATTGGCCAATCAGATAACCGGATTGTTTGGTGAACTGCTGGTAACTTTTTTTGTTAGGGGTTTCAATTTTCATCGCATCCGCGATCGAGCAATTATTCGTTCAATAATGAATTAATTATTAAAACAAGTGAGTAATTAAATGTTTTATGAAGGCCTATTTATAAACATACAATAAATGAGGAATGAATAGTCACAGCTTAAAATCTTGTCACCCTTGTCAGGGTGGATTTCGGGTAGGAGAAAACACATTATCTGGTGCCGTAGCAGGGCATCTGTGCCCATGATATCGTGGATTAAGCCTTGCTATAACTACCTCTGTTTAAAATTGTTATGTACATTTATTTGTACATCATCGTTGCATTTGGCAAATTGCCTGAGCAGGCCTGACACCCCTCTTCTCCCGGTTCCCGACCCTTTTTTAGACACCTAGGCTAGGCCTATGCTGTAGGACTGTCCTAGCCAACAGCGAAACATCACTCAGTGTTTTCTGGAAACTTTTTATTTTGTATACAGTATTTGACTAAAAGTTTTTTTCACATTTCCTTTTTCCAAATATAAAACAAGGGAACATTGTTCCCTGGTAATAAAACCATGGTCGACTAACTCCCTCTCCATAGGCCTACGTACGTGTGCTGCGTCGTCGTAGTCGCCTTAAAAAAACGAAAGCAGCTCTTGGTGTATTACGCGAACAGTGTATTGGCGTTGCCGTCACGGTCCATTACTTCGTAGTAGACTGGCCGCGTAGTCAAAACGAAAAATGCCTATTACCCGGTGGCACGCCAGGGATAGTTACTATAGGAACACAGCCCAGCTTGAGGTAAGCCACCTAGTTCCGACTGGCAGGTGGATAAACCCAGTGAGTTGAGCCGGGTTTATACACCTATTCTGAACTACGCCTAAAGCCCGGCTTAGAAAAGTTAAACACGGTGGCACCGCCAGGGATAGTTACTATAGGAACACAGCCGTGCTTTATTTAAGCCACCTAGTTCAGAGTGGCAGGTGGATAAACCCGGTGAGTTGAGCCGGGTTTATCCACCTAGTCTGAACTAGGCCTACGACTACGGTACATTATGCGTTGACAGCATATCCCAATACCTTAATGTATAACAATAATTTCGTATATTATGTCAAACTGAAATTGGCCAAACGATGGACTTGGGCTCTTTTCATATTCATAATATTCAATTATATTACGGTTCTTATTTTGAAATTAGTATTGGACCAATTACACAACTTCTCCTTAGGCCTATACCGTAATGTATAACCAAATCACGGTTCTTACATCAAAATGAGTATTGGATAAATTATGTAACTTCTCTTTTAAAGTTGCTATATTACTGTATGTATTTTCATTGAAATAGTATATAGCAGTGATTCAACAAAACAAGGTGAGTATGTTGGATTGATTTCGCAATTATGATTATTAGCTTATGTTCTCCAGTGACGTCTAAGATTTATTAAAGAAGTCTTAATTATAATTATTATCCTTCCACGTGAATTATTATTCAATTTGTAAACGGAATAGATAAGCTGATCATTACCGTTTAATGGATCTTATAATGTAGAACTAGATTTTGATTGAGTTGGTGGTATTACTAAACACGATTACGTTTTTTTTTCTTCTGAAGTGAATGTATTTGATTATTGTTATTCTATGTCCATTAAGACTAATTGTTTCATGTTGACGTGTATCCTACGCGCATTTCCTTATAATCTCAGTTCAATTTCGAGTAGTGAATTACTTTTAAGAAAGTATAGTTAATACTACCGCAATCATACATGTCCAGTGACAACGTCATAATTATGTGGTCACATGAATGCTATGATCCATGTGTCGGCTCTTGCATTGTATTGACAAATTTGCATTTTTATTAAAGTCGTGTACATACTGCATTCACGGTTGTCGACCGACGCGAACGCACCGGCGCGCGCAACGGATCATTTTAATGACGATCCGTCCAGACTGCCAAGGACAAATCAGCAGAGGGCACAGCGTCTTCAATCGTTCACAGTGCGCGGAGGGATGGATTTGTCGGCCGGTGGTCGTATGACCGTCTGTCAACGCTGAATGCCCGGCTTTAGGCCTACTAATGGGCAAAACATTGAGCCGCGTTTCGGTCAGTGAACACTGAGATCCTCTCAGTATCAAAAAAAAAAAAAAAATCAATGTATTCTTCATCACATTTTTATAAGCTTTTCCATTTTATTAAACGTTATAATAATATCAATTATAATACATGTCCTCAATAATATAACAAAACAACTTCTGCAAATTATACGCAAACGGTTCTCGAACTGTAAGCCGGTTGTCAATAATTCTGTAAACGGTTTATTATTAAAACAATTAGTTATAATTATTTTGAAAACCAATGAATTATCTAATAAAATAACGTTATTAATATAACGTTTTAAATCCGATTACTGTTTTTGGTGATTTTCACACAACCATTTTGAATTACTGTAATTTGCATGAAACTTTTGGAAAAAATAGACTATAGAATTGGTTTAAATACATTAAAATTAACTGAGGTGGTAAGAAAAATCAGCAATTTGCATTGTCGTCATTGGAACATTTATGACGTCATCATCCCAGCCGACATTTTAATTAAGTACCGTATAAAACTTTTTTTGTTGTACTGTGCGTTAGAAAACATTAACCTGTTCACAATAAATAATAAGCTGTAAACTATTACTATAATAGTCGTGTCGAGTTCTTTGATCTCTTCATTCTAATTTCATTAGTCAATTTCAAAGTCTATACATCAGTTAGATTCTGCGTATAATTATTGGTTACTCATTGGTCTTAGCATCCTTTTCGTATGTAGCGCACCGTTTCAATTTAATGAATATCTGGTAGATACTAAAATTATTTTTTAGTATTGTTTTATAATAGTTAGACGTTTTATAGGATTTGATAGGACAGCAATGTCATAATATTGATTTGATATTTAATATATCTTTAAACCTCGGTCTTCCAAGTACAATATTACTAATATTATAAGTTATTATATTTTATTTAGTAATAAAACTACACAATTTCATGAAGATGAAGATATATTCTTGGATAATAAGTACAGTGACCCGTAGAAGACGACATTGTCATTGCTATGGAAGTTTAACATGAATTGACCGTAAATTCACCATCAATAATAGACCTATGTACTCTTAATGCAGCTTACATCGCTCATATTTATATCATTTTTTATATGTAAACTCAAGAAGTTTTCAACTTTTGTAGCATTTTGAGTGTTTTATATCGGATAAATCAAAAAAGTAAAAGGAAAAATATGGAATAACAACAATGACTGGATTTCCTTCCTTGAGGTCTCGTTAAAATAGGTCTAGAATATTCCTATTAAACGTTCAGTTTATTTAGACTATTAGGGTTCATTGATTTAAGGAATTGCTTAATTGTTCATACTTAGTATTGAATTTAAAGTAACTTTCTTCAGGTTCTAATTAACCTTGTTTTACGAAAGTAATTTTCAATTACAATTCAATTTTTATCGCGGTGCGGTGGACGATGTCTTCGCGGTGACGAAAAAATGAGTGTAGATATTGTAATTAATATAAGAAAGTACTTACAATCCTCATCCAACCGCTGATTGTTAATTCTTGTCTTTTTTCTATCTGTAAGAGACAACAGCCCGTCATAGAATGTCATTTCAATATTTTATTAAAACATTACTGTGCGTCAAGAAAAGATGTTTTAATCATGGGTATTTCTTTGACATACACTATTTCTATGTTTAGAATAAGAGTATAGGATTGTGTATGGTAAACTTTACTTTCATCTTCATTCCTGAAGATGGACTACTAAAGTTTTAAAATAATGAATCACAAAGCCTAGTTGTATCATTTTATTTTTAAATTTGGTTCATACTATCGTATTTCAGACTTACCGGTTAAACCCACCGGTTGCAATAGGAGTAAAATTTTCCAATATTTTATTGGATGGGCGTATATCTGTCTCTTATACACATCTAGATGTGTATAAGAGACAGGAACAACAGCGGGGACGAGAGAAACCTGCACACCGTATACGAGCAATACACGAGGACGAGACGTCAGACAGACTCTACAAGCTTGAACACACGTTGGCTAGGCTGGTGGAAAAGTTAAACCCTCCGGGGTATCTGCCACAGTCAGCCCCTGTACCAGATTCCAGGCAAACAGTTGGCATAGGCCAAGGCGGACGTGTTATTTGCTATCGCTGTCAACAGGCAGGACATATTGCCAGAGATTGTCGGTCCAATAGGCCTGTAAGTCAAAGTACGGAGTCGGGAAACGAGAATCAGCCAATTCCGGGGCCCGGGGAGCGGCTGTAAGGAGAAAAGGGCATTCACTCTCTTATTACCAAATGAAGGTTCTAAAAAATAATAATAATAATTATTATTTTTTTCATTATTATTACAAAATGTTGTTGCCGTACCTGACGTGTTATCGTACTGAATGCTCAGTACGTTCCCAAATCTCTCAGTTTTGTGGTGGAAATCGAACCTCCAGATACAGTAACTAGTCTGGTGTCATCATCATCATCATCATCATCATCATCATCATCATCATCATCATCATCATTATTATTATTATCATTATTATTATTATTATTATTATTATTATTATTATTATTATTATTATTATTATTATTATCACTATTATCGCCACACCACCACCATCATCATCATCATCATCATCATCATCATTGTTACTTACTGTTATTATTATTATTATTATTATTATTATTATTATTATTATTATTATCATCATCATCATCATAACCATTATCACCACACCACCACCATAATCACTTACGCACACCACCACCACCACCATCATCATCATCATCATCATCATTGTTACTTACTGTTATTATTATTATTATTATTATTATTATTATTATTATTATTATTATTATTATTATTATTATTATTATTGTAAATTATTTATTTATTTTATTTTATTCATTCAAATGCGGTATTTCACGATTTAAATATGTATGTATGTAATGCTGTGCTTATGCGGCACCCAAGTAAAATGTATTGCATGCATGTTTTCAAAAGTACGCCCAGTCTCTGTCGTTGACAATCAGCAGGCAGTGTCGTGTTAATTAACAATTTAAAGAGAGATGTATTTAAAGTACAATCAGTGGCGGCGCCAGCGTCTGAAATCTGCGGTGGCGTTCAAATGAAGGGAAATGCAAACTTCATGCATGGGTGAAATATGCTGGGGGTGGCCTGAAGTGGGCGTGGTCGGGCGCCGTTCAAAATGTCTCAAAGGTGGTCCGGGGGCGAATCCCCCCAAAAATACGACAATTTAGGGGCTTCAGAGGCTTATTTAATCGATTTTAAAGGTAGACTACTAATATGTAAAAGATACCTATAATTTTTTTTCTCCCCGATGGATTTTCTTCCTTTTGCAGGGAAAAACCGTTCGTTTCAAATTAATTTAATTTATTGCACTCCAAATTAAGTTGTACATTGGCATATCACATGAACGTCCATGTATATATTATTATACCTACGTGATTTATGCGGGCTTGTATGTATGTGCATTTTTATAGTGCGTATGATGGTGTAGACGTGTTTCTGTAAATGGTTTTGTTTTTACTGTGTGCGATGTATATACATGTATAATGTATTTTCCTAATGATGTGTATGTCTACATCGTACATGCATTATGTGTGTGTGCATTTTTTCATCATTCTGATTTTCTCACTGTGCGTTTTGATCTTTCCATTTTTCTTTAAATTAAAATGTTGAACAGTTTATCCTTTTTTTCTTTTTTCGAATTTATAATATTTATTGAAGTGTGATGTATAAAGTACCGTATGTTTTATCTCCCTTGTCTATGTTTGAACAGGACCGCATGAAAAACAACTACCTTTAACAAACACCCGATATGTTTATAATCCTGTATAAATATGTTTGAAATAAAAAATATGTATTTATATATATAATATAGGCCTATATTTATATAATATATTATTGTAAGCGTACTGTACCAGCATTTCCAAGTGGATAACACGGATTTCATAGTACAATATAGACCTATATTCATTACCGCTTATACGCTTAGTTATTATTACCGATATTGAAGGCTATTTCATCTCTGGAACCAATAGAAGAAAACTGGGACAAAGCAATGTAGATATATATACCTTCTCACTCGTAAAAAATTAAATTTATGTATAGCTGGCTTATAATAGTTGGAAAAATGCACGTGCGTTTTTTCTGATAATAGTCTAACTTTGCATAGCATATTATATATATAATATATATATAC